TTTACACCAGGATATCATGAAATCTCATTTATAAAATTAATATAATATCATAATATAATATAAAAAAAATACCTATAAAATCTGAATATCTTATTTTGTTTGCATTTGCTGAATTATCGGCGGCAACTGGATTATTTTTTATTTATGGAATGTCTGAAAGAGAAAGAGAGGGGGAATTAATTCTATGTATTTTGATCAAAAATTGTAATTATCATTTAAATTTGACCAGCAAATTTATTTCAATCACTTTATCATTTTTATGGTGAATAAGCCGATTAAATTAAAAATTAAGTAAAAATTTCAAAGTATCAAAACATATTATAAATAATTAGAAAATGACCAAACTAATTAAATTAAAATATCAATTTATGGAATATTAATTATAATATATGTCTTATGTGAGAAAAGATATAAACCTAAAATATGCTATATTTATTTTTTTTTTGGGAAGAGGAGGGAAGGTATGGATATTTCTTAGGAGGCCAGATTCTATAAATCTTAGATAATTCATTAAGTTATGACATATTCAGTTAGCATTTTTAAAGGGAATTAGAGAGACAAATGGGAATTTCACATCCGGAAAATTTCACTAAAATATTTGTAAATCTAATTTTAACTTATATCTAAATAACATTTTAATAATAAAATCTTAAAAATCTTATAATTTATCTTCCCCTCCTTTTATAGTTAAATTAATAGATGACTGCCTAATGATACATCTTGCATAATAATATATACCTAAATTTACTATCATATATTTTTTAGAAATATCGAATTGAAAATAGAAACAGCATTTGCAATGACTTATTACTCGGGTAAACCTTAATTTAAATATAATATAACTTAATAATGAATATATTATTATAAATTACAAAAAATTGCATATAAAATTTATATGAAATAATTTCTTGAATTAATGAAATATTTATAATCAGTAAATAATGATTAGAGATATAATATCTAAAATTTTTAAATTATATAAGAAGTATTATCGTTTAGTCATTTCTTCTAATATATTTTAATAGTTGAGAGTGGTGTTCGTAATGTCAGCCTGTAAATTTTTCTCTGCATTATTGCTATTATATAACTTTTCAATGTGGAAACTAATACTCTAAAATTACTAATAATTATTTATAATCATATGTACTAAAACTCAAAGACTGTTGAAAGTTTTAGGTCTCGAAATTATTCTGAGGACGATTTGAAAATACATATCAAAATTAGGTTTCTACTGATTACATTTATGGGAAATATGAAAAGAAGCTAATCTCATTATATTGACTATAGTATCGGTTATACCTAGGTGCCTACTTGCTAAAAGCTCGACCAGGAGCGAGACTAGGGCTCTGGTCGGATTCGTTCATTATTATATTTTTTTTAAAAATTTGTCTATATAATAATTTTCGTCTTCAATTATGCAAATTATTATACAATCGTATTTTAATTTTACTTTTTATATTTAAACTGAATAAAATTTATTTGAATTCATATTCATTAAATTCAATTTTATAAGAATATTAATTAGATTATGACGTTAAATGTACTTTCTATTTAAAGTCAATATGTGTATCTTAATCGTTTCTTAGATATTATGATATTTAAACTCAAATTATAATTTCTTCTAGTAACCTCGGGTCACACTCCGGTGGGCTAAAAATATGTGCTCAGAATTAGGTAATGCTCGGAAAAAATAAATTCTGGTCCGGTCCTCAAAAAATTATCTCGCTGGGCCTCTGGTTATAACTAATTTTTTCTCTCTACACTTTCGATAATATAAATAAAAGCGATGGATTATCTAGAATGACCAACAAATATTTTGATTATATTGAAACGTTAATACTTGAGTTAAGGAAAAATTTATTTTTGAATAGTAATTTTCAGTATTGGAAGAAATCTATTAAATTCTGAAATTGTTCCCAATTTAAAAATTATCCATAAAATTTTGATTTTCTTTTACATATTAGCATAGCATAGATTTTGATATCTGCACCAAATTTTTTATAGTGTTGAAATATATTATATTTTAAAAGTTTGCCCATATATCTTTATTACGAAAGAATCAATTTCATTTATTGTAATTTGTATTTCTAAAAATAAGAATCATAAATAGAGAATCTTCCTATAGCGGAGCTATAGATAATTTTAAAAAATAGGAGTCAAACTTTCCTGTCTTTAACCCATATTCAGTTAAAATATTAAGGGATTCTAAATTGTAAGGGCACGAGTCTTTTTTAAAGGGAGGCTTATTGATATATTTTAGAGTGGGGCTTTTATTTTAATGCAGTTAAGATGATGTATTCATTTGGAATTTATTAAGAAGTTGTAGTATATGATAAATGTCACAGCGGATAGTATAGCCTAAGATCACTCTCATTGTAGAGATTCATCAGGGTTTAACTCGGCAAGTCTTCCAGCCATTCGTGACCACATTTCTTATCACGAAGAATAAGATAAATAGATAGGACAGGGTTGCCATGTCTCCCCCCATCAGCGGGAGACTTCCGTAATTTTTTAGTTTACATGCTGACATTTCTCTACCGCAATCGCAAATCTCTCGCAAAAATCTACCGCAATTTTTTAATTTCTCTCGCAATTTTTTTTTAGTATTTTAACATTTTTAATATATAAATAATAATTTTGAGAGACATTAATTGATTATTTTTATATTTTTAAAATAATTTTAAATATTTATTCGAAAACCTGTCTTGTAAATTTCTTTCTATCCTGTTTTACTTTTATCCAATAATAAAATCAACATCATTTCGTTCATATAAGTACAGGGGAGTATATCAACATCGATTGCAATACAAAAATATTCTCAAATAATAAATAATACAGATGCAACTAAATTTGCGGAAATCGTATACATCTATCATGTAGTTCAACATTCACAGAGCTATATAATCAAAATGTGGGTCGAATCTTTTTCTCATGATATTTAACGACTTCAATATAAGGCAAACCTTACTTGTGGCAGTACAAATATGAGCAAGGCTATCACAAGTGTTTTAGTACTGAATCCTAGAGGTTAATTCTAGACGATTTGAAAGATGGGCATCATAAGGGAAATATTAAAACATTTTCCTCGATCCTTCGCTATTTCAACAAGAATAAAAACATTTCAATAAAACTGTTAAAATTTTTTCCTCGGATAATAAAAAATCCAACGATGTAGCTAGCCACATGATGGTAAATATAGCTGATTCAGGGTTATCAATGATTAGCATGTCAGCTTTCTGCGCTGATAATGCCTCTGTTTGGCAAAAACCAAAGTTACCGGAATGAGGCAGCACAATAATGAATTAATACCAATTGACTGTATATGCCATATACTTCATAATTCATGCAAGAAGACAATAAATGCACTATCTGTGGTCGAAATAATTGTGATGAAAAGTTTTAACGAATTTAGTCATCAACTAAAAAAAGTTAATGTATAAAGAGTTTTTAAAATTTTACAAACCCTTAAAAAAATACTTCTTAAATAATAATTTTAAAAGCTGTCCTAAAATATTGAAAGAGTATGAAATGGCAGAAGAATATTTGGGAATCGTTTCACATGTAGGAAATCTACTTCATGCAGTTAATATTCAGTTGCAATCAGAATATTCTTTATAAAAAAGATTCATAAAATCTTGCTACAGTTCTGTTCATCTCTACAATTAAAAATTGATAATAAATTTTATGGCGCTATTGGTAAAAATAAAGTTTTCATTTATCGCTAAATATTATGGGTAAAGATTCTGCCTACATTATAATGATAAGTAGCTTGTGAAGTTGTACTGTATGATAAGTGATTACAATTAGCGCAACTGTAATCTGTATTATTACTTATTTATGGAGAATATTTTTGTTTTGCAATGAATGTAGATACACTCCCCTGCACGGATTATAATAATGTGATTGAACTATAAAATAAAATAATTAACATTGAAATGAGTATATTATCTTATTATGTATTTAAACTTAAAACGTGATAATTAAACGCCTTATAATTTAATACACACAAACGGTAGATTTCCAATTGCGGTCTTGCGGAATATTCGCATAAAATATATTTTTTACATAGTAAAATTAAAATCGTTTGATTTTATATTTTTACATTCTTTTATATTTAAAAAAGATCGTTGGTTTTTTTTTATAAATTAAAAAATTGTTATTTTATTTTGAGAAATATTTACCGACTTTGCATTTATACAAATAATTATAAAAAATAATAGGCGGATAATTAAGTCAATTGACCAGCAAAATTTTTTTTTTTAGCAATTTTATATTTTTACCACAATTTTGGTATTTCTCCCGTAATTCTCGCAATTTAAGAATTTTACCTGGCAACCCTGGATATGAAACTAATAGGGATAGATTATTTAAATCTACAATTTCATAATTCGGTAAATCGATGGAATTGTTATCGAGGTAACAGATTTCTATATTGGACTTATTATTTTATGAATTGGCTTCAAAGAAATGTAAATCTCTAAAAATATTAGGAAGACCTTTCATTGCCATGATACCAACTATTTTAATCCTAATCGAATAGATTTGAGACCATGTATGAGACCTATACCTTAATAAATAATACAAGATGTTTACTATAATTCTTGTTTTTACAATTTTCTTGTTATTTATTTTGACTATTAAATATAAATGTATAGGTTTTACCAAATAAAATTTCAATACCTTTGTTAAATATTTTAATACTTCTCCTCGTTAGTCATGTCTACAAAAATCTATACCAAATTATATTATTATATCTTTAAATTCATCATTTAGTTAAATATCCCACAGATTGCAAAGAGGTTAAAAATATTTTACTAAATAAAACATAATATTTATAATAATTTAGAATGCAAGCGATGTTTACAAATATAAGATCATTAGAGCTGCTTTCGACTTACTTTACATGGTAAATCTAAATTAATAGTAACTTAATAAACAATTATCAAATTTTAAGGCTTATACAATAAATAATCAAAATGTCAATTCTAGTGAGGTTAATATAGAATCATCTAACGTGGAACCGATAATTCAAGTAAAATATATTTAATAAAACAAATCTTCTTATTAAAAAGTATATATGCATCATTTAAAGCATTATTGCAAGAATGATACTTTTATTCCTGGGAATATCGAGGCGAAAAAGTAAAAAGATATTTTTCAAAGATATCATAATTTTTATAATCTTCTAGCATACTTGAAGTATTAGCGACAAGTAAAATGGTTGCTAACAAGTATAATTGCGAGCCTAGCTCTATGGATTTGGATAATTGTTAAATTCCTTATTGAACAAAATTATTAATCATAAAGGGAAAGGGAATTATGTTATTTTACATTTATAATTGGGTAATTAATTTCAAAAACTTTGTATTTTCAATCATCCCTTTAGAATCGCATAGAAATCTTATTAAAAATTTGTTTTAAAAAAAATGATTTATTATAATTTTTTTATATGGGGTTAGTTATATCATAATGAATGTAAATCAAATTACTTTTGTCATTTTCAATCATCCCTTTAGAATCGCATTGATAAAAAATTTGTTTTAAAAAAATGATTATTTATAATTTACATATATGGGGTTTGTTATATCATTATGAATGTTTATCAAATATTTATTTCGACCAAATAAAATTTAAGGTTTTAATTGATAATCCCCGGTTTACCCGAGGGCGACTCAAATCCAGGTCGGACTGCAGGTATATAAATTTCATAATAAAAACTTACAAAAATATTAATTGTATAGGGCTCTTCTTGAACCTAAATGGCTATATCATTTTATCCAGAATATTATGGTAGCCTTAATATTTTTCTCATAGATGGCCACGAAGGTTGAAACATATATTAACGAAACCTTGAGGCTTGCAGGCTGTTTTTAAAAATCGACAAATCGTGCCGTTTAACAATACCACAAAAATATACAGTTTAAAACTTAAAAAACCATAGTTCTAATATGTTGTAAAAATATTATTAAAAAATTAAATTATACCATTTTCAAAAATATGGATAACCAAAGATCATGTTTTTTGCCCGATCAGCAAGAACGTAAAATCAACTTTGTTCTAGGTCTTTTGTTATAAAGTGCGATATTAAGATTTCTAAACAAAATAATAGTAAATATTCTCACCTCCCTTAATAATTTTTTGGTCAAAAAAAAAATTAGTATTATAAAGATAGAATTGAGCACGATTGTAGAATAAAAATAGAAGATAATATAAGCATTATGGCCAAGCTTGTTTTCTAAAGATTATTTTCTTTACAGATTTATTTTCAGTAGTTTTCTATTTTTAAATGTTTTTTATCTTCAGTTTTTTCCCCAGTTTATTTGGCTGAGTTTTTGTTTTGTATCATTATTTGTTTTTTACAACTATTTACGTCATCTTACAACGATTCATAATATTATAATAATAAAAAAAATTTTAGATTTTTTAAAATATTTATTAGTAATAATAATAAATATTTCTAAGAATATTAACTAATATACAAATATAATTTTTTTTATATTTTATTAAATAAAACAAAAAAATCCTTTTTATCGAAATTTTTTTTTTGAAATTGTTTACCTAGTAGATTGTAGCCGGCTTTATATAGAGAATATTATTTTGCTTGATATTTTAAGTATAATATATAATAAATTTAATTAGAAAATTTTAAACAATTACAAAATAAATTAAATTTTATCTTTAGTTTTTTCTCAAGAAATTACGAGTCTAAGTGTAAAATAACTGGACAGCAGAATTTGGCTAAAGAGGGAACTTACACAAAAGATATCCACCATTATTATTTTTATCATTGGAAAGTTTTGTAAGGAAACCCTTGAAATTGTTACGCCTGTGATTGAAATTATATAAAATTTTAAAATCTCACGCAATAGTCTTGAGATTTCGATATATTTAATGACCGACAATCTATTAAAATTGATAAATTTGTAGAATAAATTTTCTTTATATAATTCTTAAACTAACTCTTGTTATATAAATTTAAAAAATTATAACCAATGAAATCAAATATCAATATTTTATCAAATATTGGAATTAAGATCATAATAATCCTTTTTAAATTTATATTTGAAATAATTGTAACTGTATTTAATAATATTAATATTGTATAATTGAGTTTAAAATTTACTATGTTAGTGATATAATTTGATATTTATTGTTATTAACACCACAGTACAACAATATTATAATCTAGCAGAAAATGTCTTAATTAATATATAGTTATATGTAAAAATGAAAAATTAATGATTGCCCCCCCCCCCCCCCCCCCCCCACCCGTATAATTTTTCAGTCAAAGTTTTGTAAAATTAGTATCATATTTATTTAATATGACAATGGTTAGATTAGATTAGGATATTAAGAATCTTTTACCAAAAAAATAAATTATACCAGAATATTTATATGCCACAATGTCAACATTTAAAAAATTAAAATTTCTTTTTTTTCGTAAATTTATAATTAATTTCTAGATATAAGTTTGATTCTTTATAAAAGATTAGTATTTTCAAATCAATTATGTTTATTTTTACTGGCTTTATAAAAATTTTCTAAATGATGTTGTTATCTTTAATTTAAGACCCGTATCAAGATACCGACCTCCTTCTCCAAAATGATTGGTTTTGAAAGTCAAAATACTTTTTATCGATTCCAGCAATAAATATTTTCCCTTAACATTAAGCCCTACTGCCTCTTTCCTCAATATCCGATTCGAAGATTAAATATTTTTTTTTTTTTTGTAAATTATTACTTCTGTAAAAAATAAAATAAGATAAAAAAAATTTTTAAACAAAAAAGCTAATAGCTGGTTTTATCCCTTAACCTCAACTAACTCTAAAGGTATTTAATTATTTTTATCTAAATTTTTATTAAAAAACTTTTGCCAGCTCGGCCAGAACCCGATATGTTTTTGAAAAAGTTTCGAATTATTTAAATATAGAAAGTCATTTTTATAATTACACAAAATAAAAGACATATATTATATGTCGTTTAGTTTCAATATATAAAATCAAATATTTTTATTTTACATAAAAAATTCAATATAAAATTGATACATTTAGATTTATTTAAAACAATTATCAAGATCCGAAACGACCCACCCAATTTTTTTTTAAAATATTAGGCCTGGCCCGGCCCGAACCCCACTATTTTAAATAGAATTAGGCCCAAGCCCGTTCGGGCCGGGTACGAGCTGGGGCTAACTTTGAAGATCTCTAATACTTGAGTCGAGAAGAATAGTTCTATGAACTTGAGTCGTTGATCAGATAACGAAGATTTGAAATTAGTTATTATTATTTAATATAACATTTGTTCTGTTTTTTTTTTTTACTTTAGACTTCCAACTTGAGTCGTGGAACACGAGTTATATATTTATGTCGACTAGAGAACGAATTAATTATTGAGAATGGGGAAGATCGTGATTTAAAATTAGTCTAGATTTAATATATATCAGAATGGTGAACAAACTTTATGACAATTTAATATAATGTAGCGAAGCGATACACTTTATACCAACAAGATGTTTATTATAAAAAATCGCGAAGGGGGTGGGGGTGTTAGTGCTTAAAACCTATTCATACTGTGATGTATATTGCCGACTTTTTTTTTAGATAAACCAGAGCTCTATTATGTCAAGAAAAACATTGGTTTTAATGAACATTTAATATAATTTATGTCTGAAAATTTTTTTTCAATAATATAATTTGAATTTATATTTTGTTTCTTCCAAGCACTCCCCTTTCCTTGTTTTTAATAATATATTATTTGTTTTCATGGTACTTTTAAAATATAAGATTTGTATTTTTTTTTAATTGGAAATTATTAGTAACCCCCCATACTTCAGTAATAACCAATCCCTCCCCTTGTTTCTTTCCCCCAAAATAAATCTTGGGCTATTTTAAAAAAGTTATAAAAAATTTTCTTGTTTTTTTCACCATTAACAATATTTATTTATTTAAAATTTTTTTTTTTATTTATAAATAAATTTTTGATATGTTCAAACGATTTAATTTTTTAATAAAAAAAGATATTAAATTAATCATATATTAAAATTGAACATATACAGTAATATGATTTTTTATTGTTGTAACACGTTTCCATAATGTGAAAAAACATTATATTGTTAAAAAATTTTCCATAATTATTGTAAAAACATTTTGATAAAATTATAAAATAATATTTTTGATATATTTTTTTTAATAATCAGAGTTTTTGAACTTTAATGAAAATTAACGTCAAAGTTATAAATCGAATATAATTTTTTTATGTTTTGTACCTAGGTGGAAAATGAGAATTTAAAAAAAAAATTTCTAAGATTTTTACAATAACATTTTAAATGCATTACAAATTTTATTAAATTTTAATTAAAACGCATCCAATTTGGTCTATAAATTTTTTAATTTACTAAATGTTCTCGCAATTACCTCCGTGACAAAATTAAAATGTATCATATGTTAAAAATAAATTAATGTTGTGCATATTGTTAATTGTAATGATTACACTAATAAACACCTATTACATTTATTATCAAATCATATTGTGATATTCTATCTTCTTCATTTAACTCCTCACTTGTAAATATGATATCATCGTCCATTTCATTTAATTCTGCTAATCAATCTTTGAATATACTGGTAAATGAACACAATTCGTTATGTAATTTAACGCTCAATTTATTTGCGAATTATGCCAGTTTTTCCAAGGAATTTTTAAATTTTCAGAATTCTTAACTATAAATTTTGTAACAGGTCTACTCGCACTTTTTAAAATCAATTGTCATCTTTCTACGATACTGAAATTTTGATTTAACATTATTTATTTTTACCCATTTGCTTTAAAAAAAATTCAAAAATAATTTTGACATTTGTCATTTTTCTATGATACAAACATATTTTCACCCATTTGCCTTAAAACTTCAAAAATAACGAATATGACAATTGTCACTTTTTTATGGATAATCTATGTTTAAAAAAATAACGATAATAAATGCCAATGCAATACTAAGTCAGAGTATTATAATTAAAAGAAGCTATAAATAACTTACCCTCCCATAATTTTAATATCTACTAGATGTTATTATATATATTGGATTCAACCCTAGAAGTATTGGTCGAATAAAATGATCAGAATAATGGGTGAGGTGAAACAAACCTTAGACCTTCCTTTAAAAAATGACCACTCAAGTTCATAGAACTATTCGTCCTCTAGTCGACTCAACAACATAATTTATATTCACGACTCAAATTGGATGTCTAAAGTAAAAAAATGTAAATAACAGAACAAATATCTTAATTAATAATAACTAATTTGAAATATTA